GTATTTTTGTGCCTCCTGATGATAAGTTCTTGCTCAACTTGGTGCAGTGAAGGGATCATAATGAAGAAGTGTTTGCAGCAGCCTGGGTGACCGCTAATTCACATCTGCTCTTTTCCTACACTGTAGATTTCCCTGATTTTGTAGCAATAAACCATTGGATTGTTTTGAAAATTTCAATGTAGTCAGACTCAACTACACAGTCAAGGCTTTCGGGCACATTGGGTATTCACTGAATGTTTGTTAAAGAAATGAATCGATCACACCTAGATGTTCCCACTCCTCCAAAAAAGGAAAGGTAAAGTCTTTGTTCAGATATTGCATTCTAAAAAAATGTTGCGATTAATTCTGCAACCAGTAAAATTCTGTTTTTTCACTGATTGCAGTAACTAACAAGTTTTAAGAGCAGGGGTTCTGCTTTCAGCTTTATATAAGCCTGCATGAAGGACCGAGCCTTGGCGAGAAACAGTACCACATGGTGGGGAAGAACGTGAACTTGTAGTCAAACCTCCTGCCTTCAAATCCCAGTCCTCCTCCTTTATGGGTATGTGAACACTGGCCAGGTCATCACACCCATTCTATGTCTCAGTTTTCTTCTCTATAAAATGGGGATGATCATAATGGTACCCATCTCATGGTGTTATCATGGGAGCAGGCAATGTTAACACAGCTACAGAGCTTAGCGCACCGTCTGACACATGGTAAGTTCCCCGTAAATGCCAGCTGTCTTCACCGTCAACATGCGGGAATTAGGCAGCGCTGAAAATTTACTTGCAACCACATTAGTTTTCAGGGGCACCCCTGCAAAGTACTACCAGTTGGGTGGCTTAAAACAACAGAAACTTATTCTCTTAAAGTTTTGGGGAGGAAGTTGAAAATTAAGGTGTTATCAGGGCTCTCCATCTTTGGAAGGCTTCTAGGGAAGGGTCCCTCCTGGACCATTCGATCTCTGCCTCTGTCTTCATGGGACTGTGTGACTCCCTGTGTCCCAGCCTCTTCCTGTAAGGACACTCTCCTTGGATTTAGGGCCTCACCAATCCAGCAGGCCCTTGCCTTAATTACATCTGCAGAGACTGTGTTTCCAAACAAGGTCACGTTCCAAGGTTCTGGGTGGACGTGAATTTGGGGAAGGTAGACACTATTTAACCGCTATAGCATTTCATTACAAAAATTAAACCTACAGATTGTTGTAGTCACTATAGGTCTGTGATCCTGCCTCTTGCTTGAAAACACAGAGAAGTTACAGAGAGAATTTGCTTCTCATTAAGTTGCTAATTTCTGGTTAGAAATAAAAATGAGGTTGGTAGTCATAACATTTTCCAGGGTTTTGGGGTTTGACTAGCTAAGAAAAAATGGGCCTAATGAACAAAAACTATCTTTGGCATGGCCAGGCAACTAGCCACTTGGTCCCCAGTGTAGGTCCCCACTAATCCTGGGGATGACACACCAGCCCCACAGCTGAGCCTTCTACATGAGCCAGGGTGTTGCTCTGATTCTAGAGGCTTCCCTGGCCTCAGCCAATGGGCTGCCAGGGAGTTCTGCCACGGAATGGAGCTGCGTCAGTTGAGTGAGTTACTGCTGGATGGTGGACCCTGTGCGAAGATGGGCCTCCACGGGCTTCTCTGGACCGATGATGTGATTGGCTCTGTGGTCTGGTCAGAGGTTTCCAGGTTGCCCTTGCGTTCCTTGCAAAACATGCCCTCCCCCAGCCAGAGTGCCTATTAATAGGCGGGGAGCCCTGGGAGAGCTAATGCCTGAGCTGGTGATCAAATCTTTATAGATCCATTTGAAGAAAGGCTCTGGGAGCCTCCTTGACGACAGGCTAGAGGGAGGCAGCAAGATGTGTCTTGTGTGTATAGATTTGCCGGCAGGGGATCGTGAGTAAACATGCATCTTTCTACGAAGCAAAAGAGAGTCATCAGGTGGGATCTGCTTGAGTCGAGCCTGCCCTCCTGAGCTTAACGAAGTGGCAGCACATGGTAATTTGATTTACAAAGGCAACCACACATTCACGACAGAGAGAGAGAGAGAGAGAGAGAGAGAGAGAGAGAGAGAAATAGGGGACATAGGTGGGAAGTGTGGAAGGACAGAGACAGAGATAGATGGTGATGTAGCGTGTCCTCCTGAGACATGGGGGATGGAGAAAGAGAGAGAGCTGGGGAAGGAGGCAGACGGAGATGGAGGTGGTGGGGACAGAGAGAGGGGAGAGGGAAGGAAATGAGGGAGGTCAGGAAAGAGAGAGATCGAAACAGAAAATTTAAATAGTGTGTGCCCTTTGCCACAATCCCCCTGATGACCTAATAGCAGGGGAGACCCCTGGCTGATTCGTACCCTTGGGCTACCTTGGGCTACCCTTGGGTCCTTGCCTGTCCTAGTGTGCACCTCACACATGGTTGAGTAGGACACAAATGTCACAAGGTTTTTATTTTCATACAACTTGGCCCCAGCATGGCAATCCGTCCTCCAGTGCCCGCATGAAGGATGAAATACTGAAATCTGTTAAATGCAGAGAGATGGATTTTTCGAGGCTAAATTAATTTTATGCAATTTTCACCTGAGACACTACTCCATTCCAGAGAGTGTGGTCAGGTGCTGTAGGATCTCTGGCTCCTAACTAGACATTTTCTAAGCAGAGGCAGCTGATTCTTGAATGCCCGGGGTAAGACCTCTGCCTCTTAGTACTACTCGTCCCCAAAAGAGGAACGAATGAGGAAGCCAGAGGTAAAACGGTGTTGTATAATGGGTAGAAAATATAGCGTTTTCACCTCCCCTAAAAATAATGGCAGTCAATATTTTGGTGTGTTTTCTTAGTTTGCTCTCCTCGTGTGTGTGTCTGATTTTGTGCAAGCAGGTAATCAGCGCGTCCTTGGCGTAGGGCACCCGGATCATTCACTTAGCAAAATGTCGCGAACACTTTCCACATCCGCAAGCCCACCTGTACTATCAAAGGACGGCCCATGAAGGATTTCCACGAACTCGTTCTTTGGCAGGTGTCTGTGGCCGCTCTTTGTAGAGGCTGGGTTTTTGGGCTGCAGCCCTGGTGCGAGGGTGTGGTCCCAGGAGACCATAAGAGGGCCTCTCCCTGGGAGGTGAGACCCAGAACAGAGGGAGCATCTGGCTGGAGGCCTCATTGGGCAGATCCCTGGTCCAGGAAGGAGCTTGCAGAATATCCCTGGATAGCCTCAGGATTCTTTTCAACCAGAACCACCATCATTCACACCACGTCAAGAGGATACTTGTGTGGACTCAGAGGGATGCCCATGAATACTTTCCCAATACGTTTTGCAGCTTTTAATTTTATTTTTGTTAAAGCCCACAGATTGGGTCAAATGTAAACTCATCCCGGTAAACAGATATTTGGAGAATATTTAGGTGACTTTTGTGTAAGCTCTTTGAAGTAATGTCAAGGGAAACACACAAGCTTCATTTAACTTTATCTCTAATGCTGGCTAAGCTGAAGGGTATACACCCCTGCCTTTCCATCTGTGAATACTGCCATTAACCCCCAGAAGGTTTGTATGAGCTACTCTGTTTAAACCAACTCTCCAAAAATAAGGGGACCATGATTTTCCTTAGATTGGACCTTCTGTAGTGGACTCTCTGGGGGCATTAGGACTGATTGATTGCATTCACACATCTCTTTGGCAATGGAACCACCACATTAAATTAGCATCGCGCACAATGAATGGTAATTGCGAGATTGTCATTTTACTGCAAGTGCAAAATTAACGTGTTCTGCAAACCCGTCCCATTGTATGCCACAGGAAAGCCGTGGAACCATGTTGTTCCGAGCAGAAACATGCCCTGCAACAGCGCTGGGAAGGTGGTACGGGGTCCTTCAGCAATGCTGTTCCTTTCCTCCCGTTGTTGTCCCGAGCTCAGTCTGCAAACCCCGCCTGACCTCATCCATATGCTCATGTTGCAGCCCTGCCAGACAGTAGCCTGAGCGTGCAGAGAGTGTCACGGAGCAATTCCTCCTTCCGCGCGGCGTCCTGTGTGGATAATACCAGCACAAACCCCCTCCGTGTATGCACGAGAGTGTGAAAAGGCTACTTATGTAAAGCTTCTTATTAAGAGATACACTAGGCATTTACAGGAAACTTTACCCAAATACTACACATTCGTTGAGAAAGAGAAGAGTGATTTACACGCGCTTCCGTGGTAGCTTAGGAAAGGGCCGCTCTGCCGCGCTCCGTCCCTCTTGCTGACGCGCGCGGGGAATGAGGCCGCAGACCAGCGGAGCAGACCAGCGGCGCGAGCGCATTTCTTCCCCGCAGGTGGGATCACAGGGTGGATCTTGAATGACAACATGCATATGCATTGGGCTCCCGCGGTCTGCCGATTGGCTCTGCAGAATTTATTAGGATTAGAGGACTCATTGGAGCCTGAAATGAAGTGCTAATAACAGGTGCCTAAGCCGGCTGATTAGATGCGGTATCTCCCTCCACCTGCCGCGGGGCTAAGGCTGGGGGCCGCTCGGAGAGGCATCCTGTGCAAGGATAATGATCATGGTAGCGACAGTCGCTGGCCAGACCGCTCTCCCTGGGAGTCCAGCTCCAACCCAGCCTCTGGGCAGCAGCCAGGGCCGGCGTGGGCGTCCGGACGGATTCACGGAGCCATCCATCAGTCTGAGAGCACCCCAGGCCCCTCACCCTGACCTCCCTGAGGGGGAGGGTCAGGCCTGAGTCCCCTTTCAGAGGCCACTTATGCTGTCACTCACCATCAAGGTGCAACGTGGCCAATTTGCTGTGGGCTGTTCTAGTCGGTGCGCAGTCCTCTAGGATTTGGGTGAAATTGCATACACCCCCTCCCAGAGCTTCTCTCATCTCAGTAAATGGCAGAGATCGGGGTAGGATTTAGACTTCTTACCTAAGGTGGGAGGAGGATTCTGAACACCTTACTCTCAGAACACAGCACACTGGGGACAGCTGAGAAATCACGGCATAGATGATTTCAGTTTACAGAGAGGTGTGAGAACGCCACAGAAACGGGCTCTGCCTTACCCTTGTTGCAAAATGTGCCATCGTAGGCCGTGTGTGAGCAGTCGCAGGAGTAGCCGTGGTATTTCTCTAGACACCTGCCTCCGTTCTCGCAGTTGGCCCCGTAGCTGGTGCAGTGGCCCGAGCAGCCGGATTTGAAGCCGGACGTGACCTTCGCTCTTTCCTCCAGGTCCAGCGTCACCCCGTTCATCCTCAGGGAGCGGATGCAGCCGAGGAAGCCCTGCTGGCCCCCGGCACCACCTGCGAACGACAGAAGGCACGGGGCTCAGACCGGGTAAGCTCTGTTGTGCCTCCGCGGCCCCTTCACTGCGCCCGGACCGCAGTGGCAGGTCAGGGCGCTGCAACGCGTGGCCCGCACCCTCACTTTCCAGAGGGCCCTGCCTAATTGAAAGGCTCAAAGCTCTCCCCCCTTTGGCCATACTGTCTCATTAAAAGAGGCTGTCTTTGGAGAAGCCATACATTTGCTACCGAAATAAAATGTTTGGAGAGACACAAAGATTATACATGCCGTTTTGGAAATCTAGTCTGGTTTCCTAAAGAAGTTTATAGAACTCTCTAGGTTTTTTTGTTTGTTTGTTTTGTTTTTTGTTTTTGTTTTTTTTTGTTCTTTAATCCCAGGACATTCACTTCTATAGCATTATCTATTGAAAGAAATATAAAAAGGCAGAGAAACATGAATATATTAGCATAATTAACAAGTCAATTAGTTGGAAGGCACAAATCCATTTGAAATTGACTGTACCCATGGGTCTTGTCTTAGGAAATACGTCACTTTCAAGTTCCCATGAAAGGTTCCCGGGCATCTTGTCCGGGGTGGTCAGAAGTTGGAATTGATAAATTTTACCCAGAAGTCAGCCCGCTCAGAATAGATTTTACTGCTTTTCGTCTAAATGCCATTGCAATGCCATTGCAAGACATACAGCACAAAGAGCAAATTCTCTTTGATTTTCTAAGTTACAGAGTTAGACACAGGTTCATGAGCATGAAAATATTAAAATATTCCTAACAAATTTCACAGAAAGATTCACTGGAGCATTATATCACGAGTGAATTTAATTATGTCTGTAATAACCTTGGCTACAATTTTTTTTTCAGCAGCTGGTACAGAAGGAGGAACTCAAGTTTATATACACGTCTGCCTGTCAGGGTAACAAACTTTTCCAGAAAGTAAACAAAACGTATAGTCATTAAAATTATTAAAAGAAATATCTGCTGGGGATTTAGCAAAAAAAAAAAAATACTGTTAATGAAAGTTATTTTTTACTGAGGGCTATGTGGTAGGTACTCCCCTAAGCGCTTCCTTAAATGCTATTCACCCGATTCTCTCAACAGCCTGGCAGGGCGGGCATTACCATGATCACCCCCATTGTTCCAATGAGGAGGCTGAGGCTTAGGGAAGCTCTGAGGTTTACTCAAGGAGTTGTAGCTCCAAAATGGCAAAGTTGTGAGAGTTCTTATGTTCAAGTGTATGGTGTTAAACTCCGTCCTGTGTTGACCATTTAATACCGAAGGACTTCAGGGTCAGGGCCCCTGTTGATGTACACGTTTCCGAGACAGAGGTCTGGATGTCTTTCCAGCTGGAGTGGTGAATAGGATTGTCAGTGTTTGGGTGCGACCAGTAGCTGGGGATGGATTCTGATCACTTATTCGGGACCACTGAGAAAAAGCACACAATCGAGCAGACTCATGGGACAGGGCTGCTGGATCCAAGGCTTTCGTCGCAGAGATAGACCGATTTGCTTATGTGTGTAAGTCCTTGGCCGTGAAATGGCCAATGACTCGCTCCGTTACCTTTATAGACCCAAGCCTTGTGTTCTGTAGTGGAGGAGTACATAGGTTTGAATGAGGCTTCTCCAGGGATGATTATTTATTATCAAATAAAATAACTGGACAGAGGATTAATTGAAGGGAGTCCAGTGCCCTTTTTGATCAAAGCTACGGGATAGCAGCTAGCAGAAGAAGCTGTTAAAAGCAACCATTGGAAGGACTTCCCATTCTGACATCTGCTCGTCAGCTCTGCTTCATACACCTCTGTGCTGAGGAGAATCCGGGCCTTTGCTACGATTTGGAAGAATTTCAATCCATTAGTCACTCCTTGTGTGTTAAAATTTCAATTTGGCGTCCATCATTTTAGCGAGGACGGCTTTTGCTCTTGGAATAAAGGGTCTCTGAAGGACCTCTCATTCAATAAACCCCCAGGCCTTTACATTTTTGTTACTAGTCCATTAAGACAATTACAGCCTATGAAAATACGCTGAAGTTTTTAAGTCGTTGTTTTTAGATATCTCCTGCTCACTCCTTTTCCCTATTGCAAATGTAACCATTTTTCACTGGGAAAACCATAAACACACTGATAAGCAAAATGAAAAAGAGATCACTAAGGCTGCACAGATATAACTACTTTTACTTTCGGCAAACAGCTTTTTCTACCTTTTTCTTTTTTTTTTTTTTTGAGATTTTATTTATTTATTTGACAGACAGAGATCACAGAGAAGCAGGCAGAGAGAGAGGAGGAATCAGGCTCTCTGAGGAGCAGAGAGCCCGATGCAGGGCTCAATCCCAGGACCCTGGGATCATGACCTGAGCCGAAGGCAGAGGTTTTAACCCACTGAGCCACCCAGGCACCCCAGCTTTTTCTACTTTTTAAAAAAATATTGTGGGGCGCCTGGGTGGCTCAGTGGGTTAAGCCTCTGCTTTCAGCTCAGGTCATGATCTCAGGGTCCTGGGATCGAGCCCCACATCAGGCTCTCTGCTCAGCAGTGAGCCTGCTTCCCCATCTCTCTGCCTGCCTCTCTGCCTACTTGTGATCTCTCTCTCTCTCTCTGTCAAATAAATAAATAAAATCTTTAAAAAAAAAAAAGATTGTATTTACTTATTTGATAGAGAGGGAGAGTAGAAGCAGGGGGCGTGTAGGCCGAGGGAGAGGGAGAAGCAGACTCCCCGCTGAGCAGGAAGCCCGACCACATGGGGCCCACCCCAGGACCCCAGGATCATGACCTGAGCCAAAGGCAGATGCTTAACCAACTGAGCCACCCAGGTTCCCTGCTTTTTCTATGTTTATGTACTGCATTCGTGTAGGGGAAAAAAAAAAAGGAGGAAATGGGATGACGATATACATGTTGTTTTGAAATTTGCTTTTTGCATTCAATATATCATAAAACGCTTTCCAAGCAATAAATGTACAACTAGAACATCTTGGTTAATATCTGCAAAGCATCCCGTTCCGTGAATGCTCTGTGACTTCTTTGCCATCCCATTACCATTGGGCTTTTAAGCTTAGTCTGATTTTCATTTTATGTGACACTCTAATAAATATCCTTGTAGAAAACCTTTGCCACCTGTTCAGTATTTCCTTAGAATTAATTCTTAGAAGTGCAATTGCTGGATACAAAGGCACATACATTTTAAAAGCATTTGAAACACATTTTCCTCTAAGAGTTTGTCCGTTTGTATTTCGCAGGCAGGATATGGATTCCCACCTTCACGCGATTCGATACCAGGGAGAAGGCCTTTGAATTTATAGGCTAGAGAGAAAAAGAGAGTTTATTGTTTTAATTTGCATGGCTTCAAGCACTGTGAGTTGAATAATTTTTGTGTTTTCCCCATTCTTAGTTTCTCTTTCTTCATATGCTTTGCTTTTTTTTGGGAGAATAAAAGAAGATATATTTCTTATTGATTGATAACAGTATTTTTGGGCTTTCCCTCTTTGTTACACAGTTGGTAGCCATATCCTTCCAGCCTGTGTCTGTAACTTACACATGGTGTTTCTTTTTCTCTATGAATGTTTAGGCAGTCACATCCCTCTTTCTTATTTGTATGATTTGTGTCTTTGGCATTAAGCTTATAAAGCCCAATCTAAAAATAATATAATAAACCTAATCCAAAATAATATCATTATTCAACTGTATTTTCTTCTAGCACTTTGATGATTTCACTTCTCTTAACACTGTCACCGTTAATCTATCTGGAATATATTTTATCTTATTTTTTTTAAGGATTGTATTTCCTTACGAGAGAGAGTGTTTCTGTGTACTAGCAGTGGGAGGGGCAGAGGGAGAGGGTTATCAACCTGAACCCATTAAAAAACACCCCTCAGGCTTCCCACTGAGCAGGGAGAGAGGCAAGGCTGGATCCTAGAGACCATGACCTGAGCTGAATGCAGCCGGCTAACCGACTGAACCAGGCCTTCCTGGAACGTATTTTAATTTAAAAATAACTTATATGTGGGGTTATGGACATTGGGGAGGGTATGTGCTATGGTGAGTGCTGTGAAGTGTGTAAACCTGGCAATTCACAGACCTGTACCCCTGGGGATAAAAATATATTATATGTTTATAAAAAATAAAAAATTAAAAAAAAAAAACTTAATGGGTCTCACTAACAGTTGAGAGTTTGAAGTAGAGATTTTTAAAAGACTGAGCAAACATTAATAAGACAAAAAAAACCTGAACATTTTAAAAGGTCCAAGTGGCAGAGCAAATCAATCGAGGTTAGTTGATATTTTTATCATATCATTAAGCCAAGCAGATACATTGTGCACTTCATTATTTACGTATATAGGCCTCATTCCATGAGGAGTTAGAGGGGGTAGATTTTTCTGCCTGTCTTTGATTCTTTCTGGTCTTGGTCTTCCTTCCTGCCTCTGGGTCTGTATATCTCTCCCTGTCAGCTCCGTTGGCTGTTTGGGGTTGGGTTGGGTGTGTGTCTTTCCTCAAGGACCCTCACATCCCTCAGCATCAGGTTTTCCTACCATATAAAGGGGGTCTGAAATAGATTTTGTCTCTGGTTCCTTCCAGCTCTAAATGAGTCTGGTTCAAGATGTACAATGTCCCCCTCTGTGCTTACGTGTCTCTGTCTCTATATTTCAGTAAATTACTCTCAATTTCTCCTAAATCTGCTTCTCTGCACTGTTGCCTGACCTTCCCCCCACCTCTGTTAATTGACCATAAAATATGACTGGTCTAATTTTTAGTTGTTGCATTCATTAAATAAAGTTTTGTACTCGCTTTTCTTAATTTGTAAAGCAGGTAAATGGCATTTCATTGCTTTCTCTATAAAAGAAAACTAAATAAATTATGCTCTTTTCTTCCTTAGATGGCCCCTGATTTATTAAATGGGTCAGTGAACTGAAAGTACTTTTACTGATTTAGTCGATATGAAGAAAAATCTTTTGTCCTGAAAGTGGTCATTATATGTTATGCAAAAGGTGTTAATGCACTAGAACTGGCAATAATTACTTG